TAGTCATGTGACATCACACCTTATAACTGCATTGCTTAGCAATGGAATTCTGATCATACACCAAGGACCACCTGTAGTAATTAAGCTGGGAGGCTAGAAGCAAATAAACCAGGAAAATAAGTGACTTGGCCAGTCACTTTCTTTTAGCCCAAAATCTGCCACAAACCAGCTGAAGAGTAACCCCCTTATTATATTATCCATGATTGTAAAGTGGAATGACTGACTAAACTAAGTAAGCGCACATAAAAGCAGACTAACAAATATATTTTCTGGGTTTATAACTTTTGTAGACTAATGTGTAACTTAAGATTTTTAAAATAATAAAATTAAACTCGGCATGTTATTAGAAGTCACATGGTCCTCAACTCACCACCATTCATTTAACTACTGTTTGAAATTACAACAGTGCTGAAAAAGTGGCTTACAACCAGTCCTTGCAATTAGGATCACTGCAACATCCCCATCACGTGGTCATGATTTGGGCATTTGGTATTTGTGACAGTTGCAGCATCTTGAGGTCACATGATCACCATTTGCGACCTTCCCAGAGGACTTCTGATGAGCAAAATCAATGAGCCAAGTTAGTTTTGTTTAACAATTGCAGCAAAAACATTGTAAAATCAGGCATGGTCATATGATAATTCAACTGCCTCACAACTGTCTCTCTTAGCAACAAAATTTCCAGTTCCACTTGTGATTATAAATCGAGGATTTCTCTAATAAAGGAATCCTCTCTGGTTTTGCTCTCAGTATCTCCTAACTCAGGCATAAAGTTAGAAGTTTGGAGAATTGTGAATAAACACAATTATCCAGTTGAGACTTGGAAAACCATTGAGATATATATGATTCTGTATTTTATTCCTTGTACGAAGTCAGACAAAAGTGCACTGACTTTATATCCTATCTCCTAGAACAATGTTTGTTAACCACAATAACTTCAAGAGGTTTGGACTTCAACTACAGTATCAGAGTTCTGCAGGCAATTCTGGAAAACACATTGGGGATCTAGGAGTTTTGGAAGGATATACAATGAGAATATTCTGTATAGATCAAACGAAACAATAGGAATAACTTCACCATGCACTGTGTAAATAACAAAGTCATCGCCGTAAGATACAATATTGAAAAGCTTAAATGGCTTTTAAAAATGGGATTAAATAAATTTATGGAAGACACATGCTGAATTCACACAATTTACTGCAACGTTTTTTCTAACCACTGTAGTTGAACAAAGCATACAAAGCTGGTTCCTATATATAACATTAAGCCATAAATAATTGTTTCAAGCCAAAAATTGTTTGGTTCACACATTATGCTAAACCAAAACCAAACATATGCTTTTCACAATGTTTATATTCAGCCAATGGTCCTATATATAGCTAATGCATTATGTGGTTCATTAGGTTTTTGTTCATTTACTATAATATACCTATTCACTATGGTATATAAACCATAGAGTTTGGGGTGAGAGGGGGTGGGTCTGACAATAAGCCAACAAAACAAAACAAAACACATTTTGGATTCAGACTATATGAAACCCAGCCCTAATTACAATATTTCAAGAGGTTGTTTCAAACCTGGCTATGTTTTGAGATGGACAAAGCAGTCTTATGGGCTTGAAAATAGAACCAGGATTCTAGCATTTATTTCCTTTCTCCCACAATAATTGAAAAGGAAATATCCAGATGTAGATGTACCCTTTGTCCTTAATGACTCTTTACGGGAATAAGAAAGCCTGTCTCCACCAAGATTTCCTTATGGGCTTCCTGTCCTCTTCAAGGAAATGTGACAAATCATTGTTGGTGGAGATCATCTTTGATCTGACTGCACAAAGGCATTTTTATAAGTTTATGATTTCTGCCATGTCCATGATACCGGTAGTTTGAATTACCATATAGGCAGTATTTAATTCAACTGATCCTGCAAGGCCACACGAGGAGCAGACTTCTTTTACAATCCTAGCAGAAATTATGAAAAAGAACTTGTTTTAAAGGCACTTGCTTCCCAAATATGATTTGAAATCTTGCATATTCATGATTGTCAGAGACGTTGGTTGTTAGATAGAAAGTTAATAATTGTACCAGGTTAATTATTCTGAAGGGTCTCATGTAATATACATTATAAAATTAAGTTTAAAAATTGTGAAACTCCCTTGATATTTTAAAAGTAAAGATACATAATTGATAAAACTGGATTTTAAAAAAGAGAAGAAATGTGTGTAATCTAGAAATATGCTACTTATTCACTGTTTGCATATCACTTACATCTTAAACTGTTCTGGTGCTTTCAAATTGCCAGAAAAATAAAACCTGGAATGCTTTAAAAATTAAAAAAAAAAAAAAAAATTGAACTACTTCTATAAATTAAGAACATCAAGATCTCTGGTCCAACTCTCTCCTTAGCCACAAACCCTGTATACAAGCAGAAATATTCTGTTTCCCACCCTTACTTGCAATATGTAAGAATACTAAGACATTGAACTTGAAGCAGTTTGTGATCATACTACATACTGTAAACTGTAAGGATTCCCATCACTATTATTAATATTCTATAATAAGAAAGCCATGTAAAAAACTCCATCTTCATACCATTCAAGAGTTCTTTTCAGCTAAGGACCTCAACTATCCAAACTGAACAAAGTTGTAAAGCTGGGAGAATTAAACACAGATCCAAACACAGATGCATACATATCCCAGACCTGCTCTTTCCCTTCCTGCCTGATGTCTGAAGTCAAACCAGCTGTTAATTTCTCTAAATGGATGACTGCTTCCCTCTTTACAGATTTACCTTTTATGACTGACAGCAAAGCACCCGATCACAAGTTAAGAGTTCTTTTTTCTAATACAAGCTGAGACTGGTAACCATCCTTGCTTCCACACAGCTGCTGACCATCTTAAGTGGGATTTAGCTGCCAACCTATTTTTTCCCTAAGTGTTAAACCCATTTCACAGCTGCCATGCAAGCCACCTGTGGAACTTGGTCAGGCATAATACCACATCTTAGTGCTAGACATGCAAAACAAAAAATCAGTATCCAAACTGCTGCCTAGTCCAAAACCCCACAGGACTAGATATCCCAATTCTGAAACCTGGGCATGAAAAAATATGTGAGAGCCACGGCTCCAATTTCACACCCACAAGCCTGCTCAGACACTGCAAAAACACAGACCAAGTTGGAAACATCCTCTTGAAAGCTAAGCCATGGTCTTGTTTTTCCACCCACGGGTCGACCAACCACTGGTAGTTTGGCAAGACAGACATCACTGGCTCTGTCTTTTATTTTGACTCCAAGGTTTCCTACAAAGGCCAAAAACTTTGTATCAGAGAAGTGGCACAACCAGAGGTATTTCTACAGCATTTCGAATTTTAAATGTGAAGGAGAAGGAATCACATAAACAGAACCTTTGCACAGAAGTATAATGGGGAGGGGGAGGATCCGGAATTCTCTTGCCAATAATATGAAGTACAAAACTTCATTTAGAAGCAGCAGAATTGCCAGCCACACCCACACGTGGCACTGGAAAACAAATCAGCAATTTCTTTCAAGATCTGAAAGGAAAGAAACTTTGGGAATTGGTCAAAGAAAAGAAAAAGGGAGTCTCCCTCTCCTCCGAGTGCTTTCCTTCACTCTGTGGAGATATTGTCAAAAGATTTGCGGTGTAGTCCTGTCTATGCCTACTCCGGATTCACTCCCACTGAGTTCAAATTTATCCTCAAATGTGGCTGCCACTATAAAGTTGCCACTTAATGAGCAGAGAGATCAGGACAAACCAGCAACTCAAATGTTGGGATGTCTCCCTGCTGAGAGAATCCCACCATACTCACACACCAAAAATTTTCTCCAAGAACAGTGAAGAGGCCAACAGGCCAAAGGAAGGACAGAGGTGCCTGATGACAAGAATATCAGATTCTACAGGACAAAATCCCCATCTACAGTTGGCCCGATTAACCCTTGCAGCAGACGGGGGGGGGGGGGGGGGGGAGGGCAGCCCCATGACAGCTGAATAGGACGACTGAAAGCAACAGTTAAGATTTATTAGGAAACTGCCCAAAAAGTAGGGAGTGGAAAACTGGAACAAATAAAATAATGCAACCTTCACTGTGCCACAAACTGGAACGTGTAATATTACCTCTGAACAGCTATATTCACCAAAATAGGTCTGAAGAGTAATTACAACTTCAGGAAACTATCAGCAATTGCAAAATCCCCCAGAAAGATCTTTCAGAAATCTACAGTCTCTCAGTGTAGATGTAAAAGACTATTAACGAAATTGGGGGGATAGGGACACTGAGGGGGAAAGAAAAGCAACCCCATTCAACTTCAAACAGGTACTCTATGGGGCACAAACAGAGAGCGGGGAAGGAGGAAAAGGGATGGGGGGCTGCTATGTAATCCTAGACTTCGATCGGAAGGAACAAAACAAGACAAAAACGACAGAGACTTTCCCCCTCCAGCCGTTAAATTAGGGAACGAAGAAAAATAAAGATACGTCTCCCTTTCTCCCGTTGCCTTCCAAACACATATCCAGAACAAAGTCTGCAAAAGGAAGAGCCGCAGGTAACCAAAACTCTTACCTGGAAAGCAGGTCCCTCTCCCTCTCGAGTTACTAGGGCATGCACAAAACTCTCGCCAACACCCCCTCTTCCCCAAAAACCAGCCTCGTCTTCACGAAGACAAGAAGCACACGCTCTGGGGGTCCCAGCTCTGCAAAGTCACACCGAACGGCTGCCTGACCCGAGTGGGACGGAGGGGAGGAGAGGAGGAGGGAACGCAACGTTGCGCTGGCCAGCGCGCGCGCCCCAGTGCTCAGCAGCCATTAAAGCCAGTCATGTGCTTCGGTGAAACTTTACACTGGAACCGAGTTCGGGAGGGGCGGGGGGGGGGAAGCGAGACAGAGAGAATGAGCGAGGAGACGGAGGTGGGCCAAGCCACGCCCATTTCCCTTTTCCCAGCCAATAGATGCTGCTGCGAGGGTCGTGGAGGAGGGGAGGGGGGGTGGTCGGAACGAGGAAAAGAACGGGGAACGCTTTTACCCTCGGTCGTTACAGAAGTAACCCTTTGAAGCCTCTGCCTTTAGTGGAACTGGGCAAGGGAAACTTTCGGTCCTCCTTGTCGGGGACAGCACTCACGCATTTCAATGACCCCGGCTTGTAAAGCCTCAACGGGCACTTAGTTGAGAGTCAGCCCCGCTTAGAATGCAACCCTGCATAGAGCATCCTGCAATTTCCATTGAAAGCAAATTGAGATTTTTCCTCACCCCGACGTACGTATTGCTATTATTCGAGAAATTCTGCTTCGTCTGGTATTCCGTTCAGGTCGTCCCGGGCTAAGATAACCCTCGGGAGCATCACTTTTACTCTCTGTCTGTGTGCGCATGGTAAAAGGTGATGGTGCCGCTCCTGAGAAAATAGCAAGGCGTTTCTGCACAGGAGGATGCCAGGGCCAAAAGTTGATGTTTGCAATAAGAAACGGAGTTGCAACTCTGAAATTCCCTTATCCGGTTCTCCATCACAGACTCCTTGTGTGGTTCTCAACAAGCCTTTGTCTCCTGCAACATGGGAAGAATCACACCACAGGCCTAGTTTACTGTCAGCTTAAAGACTGTGCTGGGTTATGGGGAGCATCATGAAAAGTGGGCTCCAATCCATAGATGTTTAGAAATAAATCCTATTGTATTCAAATCAGTTCACTGTTTTTGAAAGCCTTCATCTAGCACAATTTTGTTTTTCAGGCAAAGGTGACTTGGCTTTTTCTGGTGTGCTGGGAGCCACGCTATACCCCACACTCACAAAAAAAACCTAGGAAAAATGTATTTGATTTAATGTATAGGTAATTAAAATCATGCACTGTTAATATCACTCTCCCATCCTATTTTAAAATCTTTTCTTTGTTACGTGTACTTGATTTCTACCCTGCTTTTCATATGGTGGAGGGAGCGGGTACATAGTGCTTTATCTATCTATATTGCCCCACCAGAAAAGTGGTTGCAAGATAACTTGCAGACTTTAAAATTACAGTTTCTTGGTAAGCTTGGTGGTCTTTAGAAGCTGCACCAGGGCTTTGGGGAAGTTGCCCCCTCTAGTAAATACCATTGCAGCTTAGAAGTATTAAGACAGATGGAAAGAAACAGTGATGGGTGATGATCATATTTGCAAAGGAGGAGAAAAGAGGAAGAGTAGCTCCTTTGGGAGCTTGTCTTAACTCCCCCCCCACACACACACACACACCATCTGATGCAGGGCTGTCCCAAAACACAGAATTGGAATTCAAGATTCAGTTCTTGATTTCATTCTGAATTCAGTATGGTTTCCCCAATCATTCATTGATAAATGGAAACCTTTATCCTTTTTTCCCAGCATAGTTTTATGATTGGTAATTCAATAAATAATTTTAAAATGTTTTGTTACCCAAATGATTCTCAAGCAGTTTGACCTCAGAACTCCTTTATGTTCTTATAAATAATTGAGAAGCCCAAAGAGCTTATGTTTATGTGAGTTATGTCCATCAATGTTTACTGTATTAGAAATAAAACTGAGCAAATTTAAAATGCACTGTATATGTATTTGATCTTACAGACTCTTTGAAAGGATCTTGGGCCCAGGCCACCCTTTGAGAACTACTGTGTTATACGATACATGGAAAAACAGTCATAGAGTTGCCATGCCAAAGATTATGGCAGCCTTTGCCAATCTGTTGTCTCTAGATGTGTTCCAAAATTCTGATAATTGAAGGCTCTATTATCTAGAGAGCACCAATAGGAAAAATGGACTGATTAGGCTTGGAATATGATTTTTATGTAATTATTTATGTTTCATGAGGAAGTATCATTCTATACAATCTCTATTTAGAAATAAATCCCAATAAATTTGATGGAATTTATTTGAGGCTAAATGTGTAAAACACTGGGGGTATGCTAAATTCCTTTCTACATCTTAATTTAGATTAGACATGAAGAGGAATACATTTGTATAAATTAATAGATACATCAGAATGCTGCCTTAATTTGGGACAGACTTTTGAAAATTATTCACTATCTAGAGGTTCCCAAAAAATACAATCCAGTAATTTACCATCAGAACATTGAAGCAGAAATAGCTAGAAGACATACGGTTATCAATAAAATTTCCATTTTTATTGATTTCTGATTTTAACTAATCTCAAAAAGCTAAACAGGATTGGAATAGGTGATTGTTTAATGGGACAACATCCAGAGTATAAATTAAAGTTGTTTTTTTTTTTTTTAATTCAGTGTATTGAGAAGCAACCCAAAGCTCACAATTAGGTACATCGCAGTATTTATTAGGTCTGGCTATACTCAAGATGCCAAACCATGCGGCTTCTTTTTCTAAAGAAAAGTTAAGTAATAAAGCTTAATAAAGTCAGGTAATTTTTCTGACACAAGTATGGAAGTGGCTTGTGCTGCCCTCACACAGAATGTTTGATTTTACTTCCCATTCGTTGGTGGTGTCCATTCTAAACCTAACCATGCTGGATTCTGCTTCTCTGCCAAGCACAAACAAAATTGGCTAGGTCCAGCCTGATGAGACTTTAGAAAACAGATCCCACTTCAAACCATGACATTTAATAATAAGTAAAAATAAATTCCAGCTCTGGCTGCAAGTCTGAAATTCACTTATTATTTTGCCTGCTGCAATTCTTAAATTCCCCAAAATTTTATTCATGGTATCTGCCATGAAAAGGATGGTAAATCTTAATTTCCTCTAATCCACTTATACTAGGGCCAAGAATTTTTCAAATCTTTTTCTGCATCATTCACTCATGCCCAACAAAGAAATGAAATGGAATTGCTTTCTAACAGAAATAATACCTGCTATATCTCTGTGTGAGTCACTGTTTCAGACTCATTGTTTCCAATCTGAAAACTTGCTTCCCAAATTAGTAACTCACGAAGAAATGGATTGCAGCAATGAACCCTGGAGCAATAAGTCTTGGTTTAAAAGAATTAAGTATTTCTATCTTCCAGCAGTTTTGCGGAGGTTATATGAGATACATCATCTGAAATTCAACAATTAATAAGATTCTACAGGTCAGTCTTTCCTAACCTACCAAAATTCAGATCTGAATAGGTCTTCACAATCTGAACTGAAAGCAGTGGTGAAATCCGGCCAGATCTATCCGGCTTGCGCAAACCGATAGGGCTGGCCGTGAGAGGCTCCGCCCACCCACTAGGATGTCATTACGTCCCGTTTTTGACCCTCTGCGCATGTGCAGAAGACTCTGCATGTGCAGAAGAGCTGCACGTTCACATTTCCAAACCGGTAGCGAAGGTAAATGCATTTCACCACTGACTGACTGTGTTATTTCTTCCCCAGCCCCATAGACACACACATTTTGCATTGTACTGTATATAAATAGGGAAAATAATTGCAATCAAAATACTTGCAATTGGATTGATTTAAGAGGTAGACCTGGTTCTCCTTACCTGAAATAGAAGAGAACTATATGATGTGTAATATCTTGTCCCAACCAACTCTCCATCTGGCCTCTCAAAAACACACATATACACACATGTACACAGAGGCAATGGCTGCATTTCACCTTGGCAAACTTGTTCTTCATTTGTATTAATTGCCAAAAAGAGACAAGGAACAGATCTGAGACTGAGGAGATGTAAAGCATAAACTTCCCCTCTCCACTTAGTCCAATCTTGATATATCTCTTGATGCCCGACAAAAGTTTCTAGGCATCAAGACATGCAATTTAATGAGGATCATCAAAGTTTTTACAAGATTTCAGGGACTGTGTTGTGTGGAGGGAATTTTCATCAGGGGTTCCATCAGGGCAATGAAATGGCAATGAACTGTGTATGAGTTAAGGGGACTGAGTACTAAGATCTTTATTTTCCTTACTTTTTATCTAATGCTGGATAGAAATTTAGCTCTAGAGTAATAAGTTTCAAACAATATAGTGAGAATCAATGTGGAATCAAATATTTTAGCCAGAAGAGCACAAAACTTACACAAAATTGGTGTTGAGCGAATCAAGAGAAAGCAATAATCCATGTTTTACTGTACACCATGCAGAATCATTTATTCATGAGATGGGTAGCTGCATAAATTTGGTGAGTAAATCAGTAAATAATAAATTCCCTCTTTGGCTATATGTTTAACAGCTACAAAAGAAGATTCTTCCAACCTGATTGCTTAATTTTAGCATTTGACATTTAATGACAGGGTCAGACCTGGTTAATGATTTGGAGAAGAAACCACCAGGAATTCCCAGAATTATAAACCAGATTTTAAATTTTTACAAAAGTATTCTGGAAGAAGGCAATTACAAACAATTTCTGCCCTGTTGTCAAAAGATCATGCATGGAGCATGAAAGATCTTTTACCTAATGGAAATAACCCACATTTCCTTTTTAACATTTGTCCTTGTTTTGTTTTTGTCACAGAGCAATTTCAGGACATACCATGTCTTCCTCTTCTTTGGGATCCAACTCCGAACCACGGCCTTATTTTGTCTCCTATTTCTGTTCCATGGAGAAATGAGCGGGATCAATACAATTATCATCCATGGTGTTTGTAGTAAACAGTATTTGCTTCTCTTGTTTAGCTAACTCAGAATCCAATTGTCTCCTGCATATTAGCCACTCAGCCTGAGGGACCAAGAAAACAATTGGCATTTGTGGAAGGCCACTGAGTTTATCACATGGATGGCACAACAGTCAGCCTTGGGTTCAGAGTCGCTGTGGGGAAGCAACTCATCTCCAATCCAAGGAGGCTTCAGACAATTGTCATTAATAAAGGTTTTGCTATAACCAATGTTGGGAGTACTGGGCACTAACATGCTTGAACAATACACAATTTTAAATCAGGACTTTGAGTTTTTATTCCTAACTTGCCTAGAATGTAGCCTGCAATTTCTTCAAAATCTATCCCTCTTTTTAAAAGCTATGTTTTAACTTCCTTTTGAGAGCACTTTCCTGGTACCATTTAACAAGAATTATTTAAACAATCAGATAATCGAAAACATTTTGCAGGTCAGTTTTTTTAAATCAGAATTCCTAAACTGACATATCCCAACTGATTTCAGAGAAGTATCTGTTTTAATATGTTGCTGAAAGAAAAACACACTAGGATGAGAGTTATGCAAATGTATTACGACAAAACAGTGAATCCTACAGTTGGTATTCCACAATAAAAAAATACTAACTGCTTCAACGACCATCTCTTATAATGCTCTTTACACTGCGATTTCTTCTCCACAGCAAGAAATTAATAATATTAATTTATCTAATAAAAAAACATGAATAGACAATTTCCATCTGGCTTCTTTAAAACCTCCTCAAATCATCATTTCAACTCTCCCAAAAAACCTTCTAAGGCTGATAGGCTACATAGACAATTCCTCAAAAACCCATTCCTCATGTAGTGTATTGTCTGCCAAATGATAATGAATTAAACCCAAGACATGTTTCTCATGTCCACTGCTGAATTGCCTGACTTTAATTTGAACCCTTTCAAATGGTTTAATTATTTTCCTGGATGTTGACCAAAATCTCAGCCCACCAGACTGACCAATTTTTCAGAGAGAGAGAGAGAGAGAGAGAGAGAGAGAGAGAGGGAGGGAGGGAGGGAGGGAGGGAGGGAGAATATTCTTCCCCCTGCAAATTAAAAAATCCTGCTTGCCCTTCACCCTATCCCATCCCGGCAAGCTGGCTGTCAATCTTGATGGAGCCCAGCCTTCAAGACTGGTCCCAGCCAAGCTGGGAGAGAGCAGCAGATTTATCTTTCCTACAAAGCAGAAAGCCTTTGGGACTCTTTGAAGCTAGCAAAGGGGCCTAGGCAGAGGGCAGCTGGCTGAAGAGCAGCTCTCCGGAGTGAAAACTCCCCCACCAACAGCTTATTCCGCCCCATCCAGATTGCAAAGAATCTTGCTTTTAAAAAGCCCATGTATACATATTCAACTAATTGTCCCAAAACTTTGAACTGAAAACAATAAAAATTGAGTAATATTAATTTTAAAAGTTGGATTCTTTCCCCCACAAACTGGCTGGCATAGAAGAACAGTTTGTCTTCTTCATGCCCCCTAAGAGAGAAAAGAACCATCTGGAATTTAAGAAGAAGGCACCCTGGTTTCCTGGCTCATGGCCAGCTTCCTCACTGAAAGCAGAAATATAAGTCATGCCACCCTTACCCTTAATCATACACTCTAATTTCAAGAAGACCAAAGTGCTGCTTTTATTCCTGAGAATTCATAAATTCCATTAATAGGAATTACCGTAGTTATCTCTTGATAGACTTATTTGATTTTTCACTCCCCATGGTCAAGAGGTGCATAAAAATACATCCAGTTATTTATTTATGGCACTTTTGCAAATAAAAGTCACAACAATTAGTATTCATCCGCTAGCATCTAAAAGAAAAATCAAATACCTTCCAATTAAGTAAAACTTCCATGCCTGTTCGCCCAAAATCTTTCTCAGTCAACATGGTTATGTGGTCTGGGAATCTTAGTCAGGATACATCTGGAAACCATATTGGGTATATCTTCCTACCATTCCTATGTACAACTTATAAAACAGTGAATGGGTAGCACTAAAACTTACCAGGATGGAAACATGACTATATATAACTTTTACTTGGTTATTGGTTTGGCCATTTGGGGAGGGGAGCATTATCTGTGCTACTGCTGACAAGCCCAATATTAGCTATTCCTAATTAAGCACACAGTATTCTGCAATCTATTTTCTAAATACTGATTTATTTGGATATAAAAAGAAGAGCTGCTATATTGTTCTAGAATTCAGATTCCTGTGGACTTCAGCCACATCCAAAGTTTGGGTTTGTCTTAGCATAAGATTTTGAAATACCCAATTTTGTCTAATATGACTAAAATTAAGAAGGAATATTTTAAATTAGCCAGAAATTCCTGTAAATCCTTATCATTTTTACTTATTCATATTAATGTAGTTTTAATGTGTCTTAATCCTTAACCTGATTCTAGTAGTAGTTTTTAAAATGCCAAATTGATACAAAATAGTTTTATAGATTGTCTTACTGTTTTGATAGAATAATAGAATAATATGTTGCCTTTTTCTCTTCTTCAATTACCATATGTTAAGTATTTTTTAAAATAATGTAAATAAATAAAAAACAAAAAAACTATAGAATTCAAATTCCTGTGTAAAGTTGCTAAACTTTTTTGAAAACTCAGAGCCCTTTTTTGCCTGGCTGAAAAAGTATGTTGAATGAAATCCTAAGCCTTCCACATTTATTCCACCGGTTCCTAGGAAATTAAGGAGGAAAAGTGAACTCAGATTGGGGAAGTGAAGAAAGCAATTCTAAATAAATATAGCAGGTAAGCAGAAATAGATACGTTCTGTTCTTTCTGCAATAAAGCCTTCTTCTTTAAACCCATCCATCCATACCAAGTGTCAGAAGCCAAGGCTAGTCCAAGATTTGCCACCTGTGCATACTTTTGCCCTTTCTCAAACTTACCATAAATAATTCTGGGCAAATGAATCTCTGTGATCACAAAACTGACAGAAACAAAAGTAAGGAGCAAAATATATTGTAATAGACATCCTTCAAAATATGCTAACTATAATGTATTGTGTGTTACAATTGAATGCCTGGACAAGAACTTAATTTCATCTCACTACATCTCATACCACTTTTATGGAATTCACTGGAACTATGCAATTGCTGGACTTAATCAGTGATTTCTCTGCTATAGTAATGTTTATGCAAAGAGAAGTAACACTATCTTCCTTTCTTTAAAAGTGAAAGATATGACAGTTCTAGGATATAAACCCTCCCACCATACATTAGAAGTAATGCCCTTTTCCCTAACTTCAACAAGTTAGATTTGGCTATGGATGCTTATTTGTTCTCTTCTGTGGGACTGATCCCTGGAAACTGGGAAACACTCTAGATTCAGCCATCTCTCAGACAGGAGCAATTCCCAAAATAGGTTGCTTTTCCACCACAATAAGAACAAGGAACGGCAGTTGTGTCTTCATGGCTGGTTGAAAGGACCTGTTCTTCCAGAAGGGGAGGTGTTCAGGGACACTTAAACCCTAAACATAATTATTTCTCTGATTTTTCCACCAGGCAGCAGAGGAGGCTTATCTATGGATGTCCATCAGCAACTGGCACTCCTGGCTCCATCTGGGGCCCAAATACAATTCATCCAGCTGGAAGAGATTTGCAGGGACAAGGAGTAAACATATAAGTGTGAGTGTTCATGTGTATGTGAGAGAACTTCAAAACGTACTTCACATCCACCCCTAGATACCCTTAGCACAGCTGGGAGAAACATGCAGAGAAATGTAAGCCCCCTCCTTCATTTCATTCTGTTCAATCGTGTTTGATTTTCGGAGACTGCCTGGACAAGTCCCTGCATTTTTTTCGGCAAGGTTTTTCAGGAATGGTTTGCCATTGCCCTTTTCCTAGAGTAGAGAGAATGTGACAAGCTCAAGGTCAACCATCTGGTTTTGTGCCCAAGCTGATATTAAAACTCCCAGTTTCTAATCTGATGCCTTAATCACTACATAAAACTGATTCTGACTATAGAAGATATACATACAGAATCAAAGAATCATGCATCATCATTGCAATATGGGGAGAGAATCATCTCATTTTTTTGGATCTCTAACTGCAGTCCAATCTTTATCTACTTCTTGTATCCAAGTATTACTCTTTTATAATAAGAAAACAAATCAATCTATTGTTTCAGCATGCCAATCTTATATAATGTGCTCTTCCCAGAAATCTTCCAGAAATCAAGTGGAGAATAGGTTCTCCCTTACTGAGGGTGTGAATTTGGGGACCCTTTTCCCCAGCATTGCTCCTCCAGCAACAGAGAAGCCCAGCCGTGTGGAAAAGGCTTTGCTTGTCAGAAGAAATCTGGGCCGTGCTGGTGACATCGCCACATGCAGTTTACATAAGGAAAGGGCAGGGGAGGACAGGTTGGGGAAGACAGGACAGGCAGAGGCGGGAGAAAAGAGGACGCACTCTGGAAATTGGGGCTGTGTGAGGAGAAGCTGAGATACCTCCATACAGAGCAAATAGGACAAGGAGAAGCCACAACTGAATACAACACAATATAGCCAGGATCATTAACTTGATGATGGTACCATAGTGACTGCGAAACTGGGTCCCAATAAGGGATTTATGACCTACAGAAAGATTAGAGAGAAACAGTATGGAGTAATTCTTTGCAAGTTGATGGGAAAAGGCCTCCAGCCTGATCTGGATAAAAAATAGTGGGGTATATGCTGGGAGCCATCATAGATTGCAGCAATACAATTATGAAGAGAAAAAACGTAAGAATGAGATCATTCTTGTAATATATATTCTTGCATTTTATTTACAGAATTAATTAATTACCAATATCCAAATCTTGTGAAATTTTCTAGTGCCAATCAGAAATACAAATAATATTCTGAAGCTTGGTGTCCTCCAGATGTGCTAGGACAGCAGCTGCCAGAATATCCTGCCCACCATGGGCAAGTGTTGTCATACAGAGATTTCTAAAGGATATTAGGTTGAGGAAGATCACTTAAAAGGAGTTTCTGGCTCAGGCTTTCCTCTAACATAGCTTGTAAGATTAGAGTTAATTAAAGTTTTATGAAAGCATTCACTTAAAACCAAAGAAAAATTAAGTGAAGGAGGAAAAGTAGAAGTGTACACATCTCTCCTCAACATCCCCATAATACTGACTGCTTTGAAGACTGTCATACAATGAGTACAAGTATCCCAAAGGATTTGTAAGATCAATGGACATAAAATATAAATACTCAATCATGGCCAATAAATTTTTATCACAGTAGAGAAATTCTTCTGGCTGGGCTCAGAAGCCAAAGAAAGTTA